ACGTCTCCACCTGTAGTACATCTGAACTCTATTTTTTCCCTCAGCTCTTGCTGTAATTGATTCTCCCTCACATGTTTCAGCCACGTTTTCTCAGGTTGTTTTTTTTTCTTTTTTTTTTTATATGGATTTTTACATTAACTATATATCTATATATCGAGGAGTTTTCAGGAATTTTCCCCTCTTCATTAAGACTTTGCCTTTTGAAATCTTGATACGAATATTAGTGCGTGTGCCGTCATCTAAATGTCAGGAAAAGGCAAATAGCAAAGTGTGCGCAATTTCCTCTTTAGAAGACCTGTGCCGTGATCATCATATCAGACAGCAGAAACTTTTCAGAGCTCTCATTTAATACCCTAAGGAACCTCACTTTTGTGCTCTTTAAAACGGCATTTTGTCATTCCTGTAGCATCTTCCCATCAGGCCACAGGCATTTAGAGATCGTATTCTTCCACCAAGCACAATGAGGAATTTGTCTCGGTGAATTTGCACCGACATCCAAGACAGTTCCACAATACAGGATTAACCAGCTAAAGGCAGCATAAAGACCTCACGCATGATAGCAAGACAAGCAGATTCATGTAGACTATGAAAAGTGTCTTAAAACGTTCGTAACACGGTATCCAGCAAATAATGTGTCAGGTAGTGTGTCCTGGCTATAGGTGGCCAAAATCATTCAGGTTCTCCTGTGTGTTTAAAAGCTTCAAATCCAGCATCATGGGTGTTTTAAAGGCACATTTAAGCTTCTAATGTGTTCAGAAATGCTTTTTGAGTCATTCATAGAGAGATAGTTTTTCACTATAATGATGTTTTGATGCACTTGGTACCACAGTGCCCACCCTCCACTTGCTGCTTTTGCTCCTTTTCAGACCACTGCTGTACTGCTATTTATAGATTTGACAAAACAAAGTGAAACAACCTGCATGCCAAACCATTAAAGGCAAGGAAAGAGTCATTTATGTAGACCCTAAAGGCACTGAGGGAGCAGTCAGAAACGTGGGCAGGCTTGAAGTAGTCGCTTGCTTTTAAACTTTTAGCATTTATTTAAATTTTTTTTATTTTTATCAGTATTTTTATATTGATAACGAGACAAATGACCAGGTTCTGCAGTTCCCCTTCATCTTCTTTAGCATCTATTGTCTTCTGGCACCGTGCTTTGGACTGAAAGTTGTTGGTGGAGACCCAGCTGGAGAAAAAATTACTGCAGCGTTGAACTTGTATTTGCTGGGTGGACAAAATATGACTCCATTAAATGATAAAAATATGCCTTAACTGTTAATTGCGAAACTAAGCAACAGGTTACCAGCATGTTCCCGGGATCAGCATAATAGGTACTAATCTGTAGGTGTTGTTTTCACAGTTTGTTGTGCAGCTTTTTACATCAGGTTGCATGAATACGCGATCATTACCTCGAGCTTACAGTAACCACGGGCAGGCAACAGGGTTTATTAACTGCATGACAGTGCACAACTCTTTGCAGAGATATATGAAAAAGAATGAACAGAAATATTTCGTAAAGCCTGCAGACGCAAAAACCGTTGCCCTTTTAAAGCACAAGAAGAATAACATAAGACGTGATTTGTCCTCCATCATTTGTTTTACAGTCACCGTCAAGAAGAAGTTTCTATTGATCGATTTAATATGAGTGAGGCATGGATGGCATGAGGAGCTCAAACAAAGAGATCCATTCTCCTTTTCTTTGTGTAAATGTGAGGATTAGTTGGGGGGAAAAGTTAGGCTCTGCAGAGAACAATGAAATCAATAAAACACAGACTCCTCACAGAAAGAGAGGTAACTCTGCATCGACTACAGGCTGCTCACACACTCAATCAGATTAACTAATGAAGCAATTATTGATCCAAAGTCGGGATGTTAGCTGGCGCAGGACTAGCCATTAAGTGGATCTTCCCCTCCCTTGGCCATACTGAAAATGTCAGGGTCACTGTGTTCGCTTCTTGACACAGTTTACTGAAGCCCAATCTGTAGGAAACCAATCACTCGTCTGCCTCCCACCGGCGGTTCTGAAAGGGGCCGACACCTCCACGGGATGGAGGAGAAATTAGATTTTCAGCAAAATTTGGAGAAGAGCCAAATTAACTCACTCTGTATTAGCTCCTTAAACTTGG